AAAGAGTAACACTAGTCCCAAAAATTCTATAATATTACATTAAAATTTGTAGTTGTGGAATAAATTGCCAATTAAAATAGACAACTTATAATTTGAATAACATTTTATAAAAATAATAAAGAATAATAATAAAATTCTCTTATACGTAAATGTTAAATGTTGTTTGGTATGTTTAGTTTTGTAAAAATAATCAATGAGTAAATTTGGGAGCTAAAATTAAATTATCAAAATTACCTAGGAACTTTTCTTAATTTCTTCAACTGTCTGGAATGATTAAGGTACATGTACACATTTGTATATCTCTCTACAACTGGGGTACTGCCAATGGCATGAGCCAGAGACAAGGAATATTTTGCTGTTTTTGCAGACAATATCATATTTGAAAGTCGGTGGTGCATGACCTAGGCATAATACTTAATGACAAAATAGTTAACTTGTCATAACAGTAAGTTTAGTAAATAAACACTGTAATCACTACAGTGTTTATTTGTATTTTACAAATTACAGTGTAATTACAGAGTAATATGTAAAATATATATGTTCAAATCCAGATTTTTTACAGAAATATTTTTTTGTAAAAGATGATTCAGAAATAGGTTGGAGCCAAATTTTAGTGTGTAATTAAGTCAAGTCAAGTCAGAATAATTTTTTTCATATAGACTTCTTAAAAGTACTTTTGAATCGTCCAACATTTTTTTCCCTACCTCTCGTTCAGGACATCATTTGGCTGATAAGAAGAATGAGCAAGAAACTCACCAGCTCTAATAGGAGTAATGAAATTTACAAAATTAATGTCATTATATTCATAAAAATGAATAAAATCACAGTTATGAGCCATATTACATCGCAACTGTGATTTCTGCGTGATTTTTCTCGGAAACAAAAACAAATTAACAATTTTGACTTGTTGAATAGTGAAGAATAACTCTTGGTATAGAAATTAGTGGCTCAACTTTTTGGAAATTTTGCTCATCTTTTTAATTAAATCCAAAATACCAGAGAAAGTTTTTCATAAAATGCGCAAAGACACTTTTTTGAAGTCCTGGATTGAGCTACTGTTCTTAACAAACGAAATAAAAGAAATAGAATGATATCTCTTATATAGTCGTAAAGTAAACAGTAGCTCGAAATTTTGAAATAGCACTGATTAAATATAGAAAAACAATTATATTACAAACCAAAAAACATCAAAAATTGCTTGAAGTTAACTTTGAATTTCTCTGAGCCACAACAATATTATTTAACAAAATTTATGCCAGATTAATGACTATTTCATAAGGAACAAAGTTATTATAATTTTAAAGCATAAATTTATTATATTATTTCAATAAATACGATAAATGTAAACGCAAAATCACTACAAAATAAGATGCAGCGGCCGTCTGAGCTCAGTACCGCGCGAGCGCTCCTCAACGTTAGACCTGTGTCGCATTTCTTCGCGCCATTTTTCGATCTAGATACGTTCGAGCGAGCGTAAATAGAGCAGTATAGTGGGACTTCCAACTTTGGTCACGAAGTTCGATTTATATGGAATTTATATAGCTTATTGAATTATTTCTAATACACATTTGTTATTTTCAGCATAGGTCGAAAGACCCCTAGGTATATTTGTATAAGAAAGTTAAAATATATATTTATATTATGAAATGCAAATAAAGCAAGGTACTTCTTCTCTCAATACACTTATACTAGTACATAAAATTGGAGTGCATATTTGTAATATTAAAATAACCGCTTTTCACTAAATACATTTGTGTGTATACATGGTACATATACAAAAATAATATATTTTATCTGTCTGTCTGTTAGTTCTGGCTAATCTCTGAAACGGCTTGGCCGATTTTGAAGAGACTTTCACTAGAAGTTGACTTACGTAATGAGGATTCACTTAGACTTATGGCTCGATGCAATTCGACCGATATCAAATTTATCGGAGATCCGCATATGAAACAACTTTTTCTAAATTCAATATATTTTTAATCCCGGACGCAAAAACGACGCGGTGTTATAAGTTTGACATGTCTCTTGTGTGTGTGTGTGGTGTGTTTGTGTCTTTTTGTGGCATTATAGTTCCCGAACGGATGAACCCATTTTGATTTTGTTTAAAAGGTGTATTAGTCGGGAGTGTTCTTCACTTTGATGAAAATCGATACAAGATGGCCGCCGCCACAAAATGTCGGATCACATATTTTATCACCATTCCATCAATATGGGTATCAAATAAGAGGGCTTGAGTAGTAGAATACTGAACACTATGACAAATTTCAAATCCAAGATGGCCGCCACCAAAAATGTTGGATTACCTACATATTTTTCACGACTCCCTCAATACGGACATTAAATAAAAGGGCTTGAGTAGTAGAATACTGTTTACTATGACAAAATTTTATATACAAGATGGCCGCCGCCACAAAATGTTGGATTATCTATTTATTTATTTATTTTGTACACACATACAATTTCATCAAAAATCAAAAGCAGATCGAGCGTTCTACCACCTTCATACATTTGAAGTGATACCGCAGACCATGAGATTTGTGACCGATATTGACAGATAGTACAATCTCATGAGCAAACACTTGAGTTTTTCCATACATTTTATAAGTGCATGCGATTCGTGTGATATCGTTCATTCATATCGAATAACATCGCATCTAGCCATGAGAAAAGAACCTTAGGTTACTTTCCATTCGCATAAAGCCGCGGGCACAACTAGTTTAATATAATTCTAATTTACTACTTTTCCAAACAGGAAACAGTCCATGTTTCCTATGGATGACGAAAATATTTCGAAATCGTCGACGAAAAATATGGCACGAATATTTTTTAATTAATATTTATAATTTTATTGATATATTGTCATCGCTATTTATATTTATAGCCTATGATTTGGCTAAACTTGTTTCTTTTAATTTTTGTCCGATCTTAGCAGTCGTGTTTTTAATTTTTAAATAATTTTTATATTTTATTCATTTTAGTGAGCAGTTAATTTTGTATACAGATTATATATTTTTAATGGACCTTTAATTTGATACCCATAAAGTTATGATTATAAAAAAACATACTTTTTTAAATGGCGTCACACGTCCCCATACCTATTTAATATTAATAATTAAGCTAGTTTCACTGATACTCTATGTATTTTGTGGTAACTTAGGATGATGTTTCTAATGATACCCTGTACATTCATATCCGTTATATCTTTCAAAAGTTATGGTGCAATAAAAATACTCACATACATACATTAATTCTAAAAACAATAGACTCCTTTTCGAGAGCAGTCGTTTAAAATATTCGGGAATCGATAATGAATCTCACCATAGAAATACTAAAATAAATACAAAAATTGGGAAAAGTATCAAAATAGCTTGAACGTGGTTTCAACACAGTATTGTGGACTCGTGACCTTGAGCAAGTTCTCGAGAACTCAAATCACAGAGTGAAAATTTGTCATATGGCTCTTATGAATATTTTGTAAACATCGTAAAGAATGGCTTCTAAGATAGCAGTCTCTTGAGCTAGGTATGGGTGCAGTAAATGTGTAATTGGGGTTGTACATTTGTGTGCCTTGATGTGTTGTATTTTGCTTGGTGCTTGTTACAAAAATTTAATAAAATATTTTTTTTTTAATTTAGATAATGATACAGTTTGAAAGTTTCTATTCTTAATTTCTTTATACTTTTTTAAATTAGGTATTCTGAAATTACATAATATAATACGGTACATTTACCTTAGTATGATGTTTGATTTAAATAATCAAAATTACTTCGGTATAATTAAAAAAATTCCAGACCTGTTACTTGCTAACAATTTCAATAAATCAATTACTCATTCCACAAAAATACTATTACAAAATAAATCTACATATCCATCAAATTTTGATTATAACATTATCCATTTTTATATTACTTATTATCCAATAAATACTTAAATAATCATTACTACTATCATTAATGTTACTTCATACAATTTGGTAATCACTTTACAATTTGCTAATTGTATTATAATGACTATCTAATTTTCATAGTTTACAATAATATTCAACAATGTTGGATATATTGGAATGTGTCAAATATTTCTTTAGAAAATTCAAATCAATGCTGGAAAGCAAACATGTACTAACCTGCAAAACCAAAATTGATCTTCAGAGCAGAATAAAATAATGTTATTTCAAAAAACAGATTGTTTGATTTTTAACTTATATCAACGATAATTTAACATGTCATCAATGACATGAGCTGTAATATTCTTACTTGGAAAGAATCTTTCTAAAAAAATCTTTTATAAGGCTATAAAGAACAATTAAATAACAATGAATTCACATAATTATATATTATTTGTACCTATAAATAATGAAACTTCTTTTTGCACTTGTTAATTAGTTTATATTTGGTGATCACTCAATATTAAAATTATTATGGTAATTGTCTGCGAGTTTATATTATGTAAACTGCTGCTAACTTTGCTACACTTTTGTTTTTTTTTTTACCTTTATTGCCAACAGAATACAAAAATTCTTTTTTGTTAACAAAAAACTAAAGCTTTATTTGGTCAGTTCATTTCACCTTGGTGAATTAATATTATGTGTGTATGTGATTTACACTCAAATAATCTAAAAACTAATAAACAAGAAAGATGACTTTTTACAAAGGGCTTTATTTCCAACGATTTGATCTTTGCGTGTATTTGTTCATAAATAATTACCTGGCTTTTTCATAAATAATACACATAAACAATCACATCATAAGCTTCAATAACTATGTTGAATGCACATGAAAATGATAAGAAATGATCTGAATTTAATGTTCTGTATACATATTTCAGAATATAAAGTGCCATTTTTAGTTCATCTTCAACCTTATTAGACATTTTATAAGACATAGATGTAATTAAATTACACAACAGTATCAAAATTGAGTACTGAAAACATAACCTAGCAATTAAAACTGATAGTTACAATAATAATAACAAACAACGTTAGTTGTAACATAGGTACTTACTCTTGAAAATGTTCTTAGACGATTGATTCTGGGATTCGAAGGCACGTTATTCAGAGACACCTTGGACATCTTCCACTATTTAGATTCGTCCCAACAACAAAAAAATAGAATGTCTTGTCACCTTTCTACCTACTGGTGTCTGGCACTGATTTTAAATGTTTAGTAATAACAGCTAGTTGCGTACAGATGGAAATAATAATTAGAAATCCAAAGACAGCACCCAATTCAACACTTTGTTGTAAAGTTAATTTTGACAGTAGCGAAAAGCAATTACACAACCCCCATAGTAAAAATTATTACAGTGAATTTTGTGGATATAAACACTAATAAATACTAAATTATTTAATTAATAACGCACAAACACAATCGGGTAATTGCAAAAATTACGAACGAAAACAATGTTCACAAAGGTATAATGTTTTTTGTGACGTCCAACGTTTTGTTTCACAGTCACCGAGCGAGCGAACGTGAAGCAAACGTGACCGCTTCTCACACTGGCAAGCCGACAACTGTCAAATTCTAACAAGTAATAACAAAACGAAAAACGTTATACCATGCGGCAAGTAATTACGGCGCGAAACTCCAAAATAATATTATAGAGTGATCATAAAGTCATAGAAGCATACCTTTAAGTTGTGTTCATAGATAATTGCATTAGGCTACATCCATTATCAATAATATACAATTTTCATAATAGGTAATCACTAAATTAAAACGCTAAAATTGCCCCAAATATTTTTCAGGAGGCAATATATACCATGAATTAAAATCGACACATTAACATATAGATCCCAGGATCTTCTCCTCTTTCCTTATGAATCAATCCTTGATTTTAGGTAGATCCTAGGAACCTTTATAATATACTTAATAAAAAATTAACAAATACACCAGCCCCAGGTTCTCTGAGATGGGACTCGAAACCACGACCTTTTGCAATCCGGGCGACTGTTCTAACCACTGAGTTACTCAAGACCTATCAGGACTAACGAAATTTTCAATAACTTATTACTTTTCGCTGAACGTATTTTCATCAATGTTCAGGCAATCCAAATATATATTTTCCTAATAATGTTATTCCAGTATAGCACTGTGAAATTAATTATAAATGCAAAATTGATCAAATTTAATAATTAGAACAAATTTTCATCTTAAACTTTAAAATACTTGTAAAAATTGAGAAATTTGGGTGAACTGCGCCTGAAATTTCGTAAAAATACCCTCACTAGTAGCGAAAAGTAGCAAGTGCTTAGAACAGTCGCCCGGATTGCAAAGGGACGTAGTTTCGAGTCCCATCTCAAAGTAATTTGGTAGTTTTTGACGGCGTTTCATTGAAACAGTTTCAACTGAAGTTGTTTTGACATATTTCTTCTCACTAAAACATTACAAAATAACAAACATTGAACAAAATATTGAATTTACCAACACGTCGTTAGACGGCATTGACTTTGCTTGAATAATATGGTGAATTGGTGACTGGTGATTGATATGATATGGTAATAAGAAGTATCATAATAATAAAAATAAGAATGACATTATAAAACGTATAACTTAAGAACGTTGCATATCCACCTAAAAACTACCTGTTTTAGATTTTAAAACATCGGTCCAGTATAGTTCCAAAGCCTGTTTAATGCAAACAAACTAATAATATTCAAATATTTCCACTTTATTAGTATAGAATAGACAACAAAAAAGGTCACACGCAAAGTTTCTGGAATAGGTCACTTATAATATAAGAAAGTTACATATTATTTAAACATCTGGGAACGGAACTATTTAGACGTAGAATAGAAAAAACTGTGACGGGTTCGAGGCAAATGAACAAAAGACTGACTAAGCTTGAAAATTTTATCTATCGAGAGGTTTTGTTTATTAGGTACTTAGTAAATATTTCACGAAGATATACGTTTACATTTCTCTTATTTAAATTATAATAACTTTATTTTTATTAGATTTATATGATTAAATTATCATGTTCTCATCAAATGAATATTTTACAAACTGACTTTCATAAAGACCATATTGGTTTCCTCAAAATTTCAAATTACGAAAGGTGACTAATAAAAAGAAATGATGTTTAAGATAAAAGAACGAAATAAACGGTGAAACGGCGCACCGTTACATAACTACTACTATAGTTCATAAAATATAGCTTGATAAATAGGTATATATTACTACTGACTTAATGTCGTTATTTAAGATTTGGCAGTATGGCTAAGTTCCTTCGCCTGTCCCAATAAACGAAGGGGGAAGTATTAAAAAAAACATTAGTTCCCAAAATCAAAGTAGATGTCGCTAAAAAACTATCTTGATTTTTCCATGATAACTTTTTCTTTCATATATAAAAGTAAATTATTTTTCATAACTCAATATTTTTCATATTCTGTTTGTACTATTTTGTATTTGTATTGATATATAAGTTTCGTTCTTTGCAAATTTCGGTTTTTTAATATATTAGTTAAAAGGAATGGATATGACTATCTTAGGTCCATTTGTTTCCTGCAAAAATCAACTTTTGTTAGAGTCGCCATGTAGTGTAGCTTTTTTGTACTTTCCCTTTTTTCTTAAAAGAAGGAAAATTTTTTTTTCCTCATTAAACTACTTATATAGCATAGGTAGAAGTTTATCAGTCTCCGTTAGATTACAATTTGTTTCAGGCGATTGTCAAAAGTTCTGATGTGTCACCACTTACTGTCCGTTAGTGGTAACGAAACATATTTCTAGATGAGCGAAAATTCGAAAAAGGAGTCCATTTCTAAATGTGTTAGAATTTCTTTAATCCCAACCGATATTTACATACTTTTTAGTAACATTAGTGACACGTCAGCCAGGCATTTTGTGTTATTATTCACAGCGTAGGTGACCACGTCAACAAAAATGTTTTCTTTAACATTGCAGCTATTCCATGATTTGTATCTCATCAAGCAACATTGTCGCTGTCGCTCTATAGGAAAATTGGATATAGACATAGATAAAGCATTAAAATTGAATTTGTCTCTTCCAAGTTTTAGTAAAAACGTACCTATTAACTAATCAACAGCTCGTTTTACTTTTTAGATCGGTATCTAAAAAAATTCTGGAGAATAATAAAATTTAGTTCATTTGAAATTTAAGATTCAAGATCGCTTGGAAAATTTGACAATTTATGGAAAATATGCTATTGTTTGTCCAATTTTTATTGGAAAGTGGAAAGACCCGTAATGTAAAAGAAATTATGACGTCGAAAGCATACTGAAAAACCTATTCTGTTTATGCATAAAATCTCGAAAATCTCGCTGAAAGTGTGACACTTAAAATCAGCGCGTAGTTATTTCAAGGATAACGGGAAATTATAAAAGAATCAGGTGGCTCAATGAATATAATTTTAGTGACATATCTGTATCGCCATTTCTAGGAACATGAGAGATTTCTCGATACTTGGACGATTGACTGATCATCCCAAAGGTCATTCAACAATATTTAACGTCAGACTGTACCAATGACACAATGTTTCCCACGAAGAAAACTACTTTGCGAATCTTAAATATTAAATGTTATTTATTTTAATAATCACTATGAAAATGAACTTCAATACGTTACCGAGAATGTAAAAGAGAGAATCGAGTAGTGTCTCATTTAAATAAAAATCAATATGGTATTATGTTCAGTTCATACTTCTATTTACTGATATTTATTTAAAAAAAATACAAACTTTTGATTCTCGATTATAAATAATAATATCAGACGAAACATTGAATAGAACATTGACGAAACATTATAGACGATCAATAATCAGACACCATTATTCATTTATAGTCGTGTACTTTGAATTTTTTTGTTACGTATTCACAGTCATATAAGTATGCATTAATCTTAAGCAAAAGCTCAATGTTATACCAAGAAACTTACCAGCGATCCTTCTGTAGGATTGGCTCTAATATGGGGTTCTTCGTCATCGTCTGGGGTGCATTCTGCGCCTGCAGTTTGGCCCATGGTCGTGGGGCTTGGACTGTGGTCCCGTTAGGTTTATCAGCCGGTCGGTCGGGATCGGAGTGACCGAGCGGTTGCGGCCAGCGTTGGGCCGCGTAGCAGCCCGCGCGTCTATCGCGCGTCCACTGCCGCGCGGCTGTTAAATTTCCCTCGATCAACGCTTAGTACTAGGGTTGTATTTATCGATATATTGTCATTTTTCCTAAATTCGTACCAATACTAATATCACGAGTAATGCCTAATTTACAAGCTACATTGTATCCATTAGTAAAATTAATAGTATTATTTTTGATCAGATTAAATACTATACTAATATAAGAATTATTTCAAGTTTTGGCTGGGTAGAAAGATTGATATTATTTTCAAGATTCGGTGTCGCTGTACCTAAATAGTATTATGAACTAGGACTAATACAAAACGTACCTAAGGAAATAAGTATTTATAAAATTACATACATAAACAAATCTAAATCTGTGACATGAGTATTTTATATATTAGTTAAGATATAGGGATCAATAATCTATTATTCACTCTTTCGATTCCACCATTTATTTAGATTTTGGATCAAGAACTTTATCGACAAACTTGAAACACAAGCCTAGCTCTTAGGCGGTCGATACAGCGGGCGCAGGTCCTCTCAGCTGGGACCCGTGACAGTTGCCAGTGCCAATAAAATTGTACTACACAACAATACAACCTTACGTGAAATATATACGAAAATTGTAGTCTATCAACAATGATTAGGTACACAATTTTTCAATATGTATATAGATATAGGTATATACAAAGTTACAAGTATTATTTTCAAACAAAATATTCAAAAAGTTATTGCCTGATCTTTTTACTGAGTGGATATGCCACTAAAGTTTAAATTGATTGTATTGCGGATTTAAGTAGGACTCATTGTCATAGCCATAGTGATAAACAGGAAGCTGTTTGTTAGCTTTAACTTTAGGGTAGGTATGATTTTTGTGTGGATATTATTTGGGATTGAGATGACGAAAGAGTGACATAGGTACTAAGTTGCGCAGTTGAACACGAGTTAAAAGCTAGTAAAAAAGGACTAGTAACGTAAGGAAAGTATAATGCAAGGAAGGTATAATGTATTACTAGTAATTTGGAAAAACAAAAAGGACTAGTAACGTAAGGAAAATAAAGCAGGTATAATGTATTATTAGTAATTTAAAATTTTTACATTGCTAAGTTAATCCGGAAAATGATCTTTAACTTTCGACTACAGAATATGATCTTGTAAACTTGTCTTATTTTGTCTTAAGTAGGTATATACAATCAAAGCTTTTTGTTTGTCTTATACCGCCATCTATTAGCGAGTAGAAAAAATAGTAAAAACAATGAAGGAAAATGTGAATAGACAGTTTATTAGCTTCTGTGTATAGATGGCGTTATGTAGACAAATTATCAAAATAATTCTGAAAAATTATTGGAGTGTCTTCACACGCTCAATTTTTTTTAAGCATCCCGGTTATGTAATGTCCGTACACATTAATAGTAATGTGTACGGACATTACATAACCTACGTAAGCCATTAAGTAAGCCTACCTATAGAGGTAGGCTTACTCTCCGAACGATTTATGGTCACTGCTAGCCGTTAATATTATATTATTTTGATTTTCTTTTACGCGTGGTCTTGTTTTACTGGTTGATAATCTTTCGTGGTGATGGCAACCGGCTCCGAGACAGTATCTTAAAAAAGTGACTTATAAGTTATTAAATGTATATTATTTGGTAATAAACTCGACTTAGAAGAATTTCATCAAGGATTTCATTCTACAACCCTGAGCTATTTCAGTTCCACCGTCAGACTACCTAAATATATTAATCGAAGCTTACTACCATAAGCTTTCGAATTCTTTGTATTATTCTTTATAATATATCTATTCCTCTTCTTCCCAAACCCGCCATTGCTTTTGCAATCCACGACAATATAAGGAGGAATATCATCACATCAATTACCTATTACTGAAAGAATAAATTACACAGAGTCAAAGCAAATTAATAGCTTAAAACCCATTGCTTATGTTCTATCGTAGGCGCTAAAATTGATAACATATTGCGTAATGTAACAAAAATAGCATTATAAAAAGTAGATAATTACAAAATACATGCTGAACCAACCATTACTGCAAAAACTATTGCCCTAGTGGAGTGGTGAGGTTACTTAATTAGAAACAAGCTTACTATAAAGTTATGAAGTTCAAAGGTACATAATAGTAGGTATTTATAACTTACATAAGTGCTTACTCGTTATAATATTACCATGGATAATTATGTATAAGGTAGATACCCTTTTTTAATATTATCTATTCCAAATCCTCTTAAAGTCATAGGATTGAGGAACCTCCGTACTTGCCAGTACTTCTATATAACATTTTGCATTTATGTAATCGTACTATACAAATACATAAATGCAAAAAAAATCTCGTTCATTATAAATATTTACCCATACCCATGTCAAAGTAGGTCCAAAATGAAACTTATAGAGCCGATCAATGAAATGCGTATAGTATAGGTAACTGATGGCAACTGCTGAAAAAGTAAAATGACCTAGGTAATGGATTACTTTCCAACTGATCGCTTTATTTGATCAGAACGGAAAAAGGGTACGAACCTTAGATGAAAATAAGAAGAGTTTTTGTTATCATAAGTGTATCCGTCAGGGGTGTTATGGACGTGAAAGTTCCGATCTAGATACTCATAAAATAATAGGTTTCCGATACAGAATTGAAATAATATCAGTTTATAATTTCAATATCATATCAGCCCTGCGATTCTGTAACAATCCAGACCCGAATTCGAATTCACTCATGTGTCCGAATTTTCGTCATTTAGTATAGAAATCATATTGATTCCATTTTTGTATAAAAATACTAAACAAAATTGATTGATTAAACGTGTCATAGATATTTTAATCCTATATCATTACGAAACTCACTTCACTTATTTCACGAAACATTATTACCAATTCAAGTTTGAGCGGATGCCGCTTTTTGAAGTGAATTCGGACACCCGAGTGATTTCGGAATCGGGTTTGAAGTTTTACAGAATCGCAGGGCTGTATATAATTTCAATTCTGTTTTGAAGGTATGTCTGAGTTTCGGAAAGTTGCAGTTATGAAATGGGTACTTGATTATTATTTAAGTCATTTCAAAAGTTAAAATTCAAATGTAGTAACAAGTTGGAACTTTACTTATACCTACGTACAATAAAGTTTTATTTAACTAGCTCTTTTAAATTATAGCATATGTCAACATTGTTGCCAACCCCAACATTACCAAAACGATAGTTCACCAATAAAAAAACAGGAGAAAACTGTAGGTTAAGTAAAAAAAAACATATTTCATACTGTTCTCAATATAATAAAAACAATCACGTAGGTACTTTTATTAGTTATCAAGACAATTACGTTGTTATAATAATATTGATCACAAAATAAAAAATAAATTAAACAAAACAAAAAATTTAATTATTTTCCACATTCATCCTTAATTGCCTCATCTTGTGTATTTTCTGACTCATTTCCCATTATAAAATCATACATAGTTTTCTTAAAAAAAATTATGTGCCTTTCTGTGGCTTGATGGGTAGCAATCGATTAATTCAGATTATATTTGCATAATGTAATAGGTGGCGCTGACTGCTAATTGAAAAACATTATAATAATTAAGAACAAATCAGAAAACAGGGGTATCAAAATAAAAACAGCAAATATACCTACTCTTAAAACAGTAGGGTTAGTTACACTGTATGTTACCCCCGTAGGTATAATGTTGCTTCTCGTAGCCCCTATATAAAATCAGTATAGATTAAATAGTCAAATAAGTTTGGTTCTCAGTCTTTTTGGATTTTAATGGCGTATACATTTAACTACTGTAAACTCAATTATTAAAACAATGTAATTCAAAAACTAGCAATTGATTTTCTAAAATAATTAACATCAAGTTGACAGATATTACTCAAATGTAACATTCGATGTATCGATAATTCACTCAGATGGCCGAACTCGTAAATTCGGACACCTGAATTAATTCGATATTTTTCATCGGTAAAAAGAATTTTTCTGTCTTTTTCGTCCGCGTATCGCAGTAACAGCTGTTTTGATGTTTCGACTCTATTTTGTTTTAGTGCCTGTGTATCTCCGGTAAGACTTTAGACCTAAGTCTTGTTTGATAATCCGAGAAAGTGTCCTTGGTGGGATATTCATTTCTCTGGAAAGGATTTTCTGCTTCCTTCGGGGATTTCGACGAAATCTGACCTAGATTGCATTAATGGCCTGGGGGCCAATTCTACTAAATAAATTTTGTTTAAATCGAATCGAAAACGGATCGAAACCGAACGAAACTACAGTTTTTAATGGTTTTCCTATTCTACAAAGTGACATACGATACTATTCCAGTTCTATTTGAGCTGGAATTATATCGTATGTCACTTTCGATTCGATTTAAACAAAATTTATTTAGTAGAATTGGACCCTTGGTTTGTTCGAATTGACCGCGGTCGGCCGGATCTCTCACGGTCATCAACAGACATGGTTTCAGTCTACCTTTGGATGGTACAATACACAAATATTTAGCTAATCCTTAGATTTTTCAATGTATCAAAAATGTCGGCTGGCTCCTTACCTACTGTGCACAGTGCAATTACTACAATCCTTTTCTCTTAAATGCCCCATTCGATTTTCAAAACAAATAACTTGTAAATAAAAAACAGTAATGGTGGGAAAGAAGTCTATTTTTTTATCGTAGAAGCTAATGTTTGAAATTCAAATTAATGTTTTAGTAAAATGCATGTAAACAGCCAGTAGCAGAATTTATGGCTTGACTAGGTATATTAAAACGTAGTGTTTAACTTCTCTCAAACGTAGTGTTGGCATTTATGATTAAGTCCCCGCGTGAGGTCGGGTAATTATTGCCCATCTAACCAAAATTTTCAAATTAATTTTAGATTTTGCGATAACGAACTCCTTGAAGGTTCTAAATGAGTGTAGATGAATTAATTTGAGCTCAAATAACAAATGTTTAAGTTTTGTATCCATTAAAAAATAATGTCTATATGATTATGTTTATTATTAATTATTGAAATGTACCAAGAACCACTTACTTGATTACCGACGTCATCACTTCGGCGGTAATGAAATAGTTTCCAACTAACCTCTGATCGGAAAGCTGTCTTGTTTTGTATATTATTATTGATTTGAAACAATAATCAATATGGATAATAAAGTCCAGCCGTCTGTAACACCTGAAAATAAAAACGCAGAAGATAATGTACCTAGAAAACCTAAAGTCAATGAAACGATACATTCAATGAAAGCGGTTTTTCTTCTCGAAAATTTTTACGGCATATTTAGATGCAGAGTTACTGAAGAAGGTTTAATACCCACAAACAAAAAACTGAAATTCATTACCTTATTAATAACTTCAACCTACGCTCTGTTGTTCATCACAATGTTAAGACTACTTAGAGCAATTAACGGAATTGGTAAAATTGTGGATGCGATCGACGAAGTGCCCTCCATCGTCATAATAGCACAATACGTGTCATCTACTATAAGAACTTCTTTCCTGCTGAGCGAGTCCAACATCCGTCTGTTCAAATCTATCGCTGATCTTGATTTCAAATTGCACATCGATACAAACAAAGGGTTCTACAAAAGCACGTGTCGAGTAACTGTAATATGCATGTTGATACTTGTGATTTTTCATCTACTGTTTGCAGCTGCTGACTTACTTACAGAGGATGATAATATCCCATTGAGTAAAATTGTCATTCTGCCTATATATTTCGAACAAAATCTCGAGTTAAGTGTATTCTGCTTGATGATATGGATGCTATCAAAAAGGCTAGTGGTGATTAACAACTATATAGCAGTGTTCATCAAAGAGAAAGAAACAAAACTATCAATATTTCTCGTTAAAGATAAAGAAACGAAGGAGAAGGCGAAGGAATTTAATTTAATCGGTCAACCCTCCCCTGACAATATGAAGATCAGAGATTTGGCATTAACTTACGATATTATCGGGGAAACATGTGCCTTAATAAATAATATCTATAACTTTCAAATTTTTATGTCCCTTGTGGCAACTTTTTGCTATATCGTCATAACCATTTGGTCTTCACTGTTTTATTACATGCATTCCTTGGGACGTAATCAAGATTATGGTTCCTTAGCTACAATAATAATATGGTGTACAACCGCTGTTGTTGGAGTAGGTATGCTATCGTTGTCTTGTGAACGGTTGCTAGTGAAGAGAAATGAAACCAAGGTGTTGGTGAATAAGATCATAATGGACTATGATCTGCCCAAGAACATGAGGGTACAGGCCAAAGCGTTCATGGAGTTGATAGAGGCGTGGCACCTGCGCATTTTCATTTACGACATGTTCTCAGTGGATATATCACTAATGCTGAAATTCATTAGCGTAGCCACTACATATCTGATAGTTATCATTCAGATAACACACTTTTTGTAAATGTGTTTAATTCTATGCACGTTCCGTTATATTTACAATGGGATGTAACATTTATGCAAATAATCGATGCTGTACTCGACCTACAGCTTAAGGCAAACTAATATTAAATATAATTTCTACTTTGCCTATCCTCTTTCTAATCTCTTTGCACCATAGTAACGCTTGTTATTACTCGATGAACAATTTACTTGTGATGTCATTTTTTTATTTCACCAAATTAAGGAACAGTTTGTTAGTGGACTGGCTATTCACTTTGTAAAGATAATTAAATATTTATAATATGTACATATTCAACTGTTCTTTTAGACGAATCATCAATTCTGACATTAATAAAACATATACAGTACCCGGCATGAAATTAAACAAATATTTATTAAAAACCGAATTTAAAAAAGATAAAAGAATTTATTTATTTCAAAGGCAGCTCTCGGGCAGGTCTCATCTCCCACGAGAGGGTCCTCCGTATAGAGAGAGACCTCTAGGAACCCACTGGGCAGGTCGATGCTGGATGGGTTCACAAGGAGAGTCCCACACACATCCGCTGTTGCTTGCCAGGTAACAGGGACAGTGTTAAAAGCATTTCTTCGGCGCAAGAAAGGAAGTTAATAGATACACAAAACTTCAGAATTTTTGTTTTCTTTCGTGTTGGGTACTATACGTTGTAGAGTTTATTATTTTTATGGAAAATTATGTTCTTTTTTTATTTTGAAAAAAAATTTTTTTTGCATAATTAATAATCATGAAGCGAAGTTTTTTAAACAATGTGTAGTGTAAAATCGTCTGGTATAAACTGTTGTAGGTGAGCACTGATGATGCATTTTTTGTGTGATAAAATGTCATTAAGCTCTACGTTTCTACATAGATGAATTACAAAATATACATTAAATAGATTGTATGTAATTTGCCTTTATTAACGAGGTTTTGAACTCTGTTAAGTTAATAAATATAATGTCAGTGATTAACATGATTTTTTTTTAATGAAAAATGCTTAATATTTCCACTTTGTTCCTGGCACTCTGAGATAGGACTCGAACCCATGACCTTTCGCAATCCGGGCGACTGTTCGAACCACGGAGCTACTAAGGACAAATTTTCCAAGCACTTGTTACTTTTTCGCGACTATAGAGTATATTTTTATTATCAGATAATTCACCCAAACAGCCGAAAGAAATATTTCTACAAATATTGAAACTTTCGATAAGGATAAAATTCATTCATTCATGCATTCACAAAGCTATACTGAAGAATATTTTTAATGAAAAAAGGTATTTTTGTTGTTACTTACTTTAATGCAGTTTTTTTTATTTTTTTTTATTGCCATCTTCCCCAATCTGTATCATGCTTTTAATTTTCTTTTTGTTTAATATATTCTTTTTTTCTTTTCATTGATGTATATTAGTTAGACCGTTATTATTACATTGTTGTTGGCGGGGTTTGTTCTACCCCTAGTCAATCCTTTATATTATATCTTACCCTACTACTTTTTTTCTTTTTTTTTCTACCTAACTCTATTTATTTGATACATATTTCCTTACTTATTCTATTTTTCTAACCATCTTATCCTCTTTTGTTTCTTCTGTGTCACGTTCTTTAATTATTGTTCATTGTCTATATATTTCTTTTCCATGTTTGCTCTGTTTATAAACTATTTTTACAATAGCATACAAGTCGCATTTAATAAATTATTATAGTTCTTCATAATTATTGTCATTAAATTTTAATTAATTCCACCACTTAATGTCAATTTCATTTCAGTTTCTTTATGTATACTTAATTTAATCATACACCCTTTCTGTCTCCGTTATCTGATATTTCCTATTTCATACATTTCTCATGTCATACATTTTGATTTGTTTTGTTTACAATATCAAGTTACATTTTATTCATTTTTACATTATAGCAGTATACAATTACATTTTCATTTCAATTACAATTTCATTACTAATCTTCCTTATATTTACTCCATTCCATTACATTAATATCATACATTTATTAGTATTTACCGTTCTTCATATCATTAATTCATTTTCGTAATTATAATTATACAATCATTTTATTCTACATTACATTAATATTATACATTGTCATCTTTGCAATCGGTGTATCATAAATTAATTGTTATTATACATTACATTATTGCATTTGTCATTCTTATTATCTAATTAGTTAAGACCCTTTTCTGCTCATATAATATTGTATCTCTTAGGCGTTCCAGGAGTGGCCCTGCTCCCCATATTTGTTACTTTAGTATCTACTTTACTTAAGCATACGTAGTATTTGTCATTGGTTTAGGTTCCTATTTCTAATTTCCATTTGGTTTTAATTTACCTGTCCATTAATTTACCCATTTAGTCTTTATTAGCTCTTACTGTTTTCTCTATGATAGGTATTACGTACTTCAAGATTTTTTTTCTGCCATCATTATCTGCCATTATGTTTGCCAAGTTCTCTTTGTTCAGTTTGTGATTTATGTTTTGCTGAAGGTTGTGTCTGCCAATGTTATGTGTAGGGCAGTCCAAAAGGACGTGTAGCACATCCTGCTCAATTTGGGGGTCTTGTTTTTTACTTTAATGCTGTTAGGTTTCACTTATTTCCCAGGTTTTGAATATAGCTGAAATTAAGTATGCATTATAATTTGGATGACAATGGAATCTCCGGATATGACCGCGTAACACTCTAGCCGTGACTTAGGGCATAAATTTCGACATCTTAGCGACATTTATTTTAATTTGACTACATTTACATTAAAAGATTATGGATTTTATTTATTTATTATTATTTTATTAGTTAGTCGTTTATTCGCCAAATAATCATTAAAGTTCAAACAAAACTGTATTAACAGCGTGCAAACCGTCGTAACTGCACTTAATAAGGTCAATGTTAATAATTATAAGGAAAATGCTGTGTATTATGTCATGTATTATGTATTGCGTACAAATACAATAACAGTAGTTTCTGAACAGGAAACTCCTAGGTATTTCTATCTTGATAGTTTTATGGCAGCCACACATATAATAGTCTGCCGGAAAAGTATAGTAGGTATTCCTTCGCAGGTAGACCGAAAACTGTCCTGAACGCAATAGCGCCAGAGTATGCCCAGTCAAGAGTACGAAACGGCACAAATGCACATTGATGGTTTTATTTATTGTTGACGCTGAGAAATGTGTTACGCATACAAGCTTCAAAACTCATTGCAATCTCTTTCAATTTGAAATTTGAAAAAGAGTAACATACATAACGACTTTAAAAGTTACAAATACTTCAACTATTAGACGAGCAAGCGTTAGACGTCAATATTACCATAAGCTTCTAAGAATTTACTTGATCATTCAAATCATTAAATATAAAACTATTGTATTTTTTTTATATAAAATCAGACAATTGATTGTATTTTGACTTTAATATTTGCACATCGTCTTGACGATAAAATATGCTGGGCTAAAACTACCTTGTAACCATATTTTCGCAAATAAATATTATTATTATTATCATTCATTACGGAAGCGATAACGACTTTAAAAGCTAAAGAATTCCAACATCTCGCTATACTGATGAAAGGGATTGCGATATACTGTAAAATTGGACAATTAGTCCACTGTGCATTTTAAAGTCTGATCAATAGGGATGATGACTGGGTAAAAAAAATACAATTCTCTTTAGTCCGTCAGTCAGATAATAGAAAAATATTAGATACGTATTTTTTTTAAATTCAATTTAACAAGAAATGGCTTAGATAACAGGTATTAAAGTTGAGGAGTGGGGGCTCGCTACGTCACAGTTGAGTAGAAAACGTACTCTAACGTGACGTCATGCGAAATTTCAACTCAATGTAACGCCGTAATTTTATGATTACGAAAAAAATAAAAAAATACGTGTTTAATATTTTTTAACACTCTACCTAACGGACAAACAAACAAAAATTAGTCATCATCCCTATTCTTTTGAGTTCAGTGAACAATATACGATTAACTTGCACATGCGAACCTACTATTCTGTTTAAAAACCGCTTTGCACTCAACTGCATCGTTGTCACAACAGAAGTTCAATTAAATAATAGATACTTTAAAAGGTGATAAGGGTTTTATTTCATTGAAACTATTCTATCATAGCGATGTTCCGTTGGGTCGGCGTCGAGTTCGAGTCTGTTTTTAAATTGCTGCCCAATAAAGGGAGTGTAGTGGGTTTAGGGTTAATGTATGTATGTGAGTTTCTTTATTGCTTCATAACTTTTAAAATTATAAACAGATATTAATGTAATATTGAAAATGGCGGATGTGACGACCGACACCAATGACACCAATAAATAATTTTAAAAATTAAAAATCCACAGCCAAAATTAACCCAAAATATAAATGAAACAAGTTGTATTATGTTCGGGGGACCTCTTTGGTTACCTGCAAATATTCCACAGGACTGTGCTCCGACCGCAATGAAGATTTTGTTAAGCCAAACCATAATACAAATTGTTTCTTTTGTTTTTAGTTAGGTTTTGGCAGCCGTGTTTATTTATTTTTTAACAATTTTATCAGAATAGCTTCTGCGTTGAACTTGACGTCAAGTACATTTTATTACATAATAGCTCTGCAAGTAACCTCTCCGGTAGACCGAAGCTTATATCGCGTATATGAGATTATTTTAAATCATTGAAGACAGGTTTAACCACTATTACATGAGAACTCTATTGTTTATTACATATTAAAGTGCATTATTTCCTTAACATTTATTCAATTAATATAATTTAATGTTTTTATAATAATAATAGTGTTAAAACCATAACAATTGGAAATAGAAGTCTCTACATCTCTAAGTAACGTGTGAAATTGTGTGGATCTTATTTTAAACATAAATACCTACAGAAATAAAGAAGTGTAACAACAGAAAAAGAAATGCAATTAGGTATCCCCCCCCCATCACAAGATGGTACTCGCAGCGGGTTTTACTAGGTATGCCAGTTTCGCTTCAATCTGTACTTCTCCGGACAGGGGCGTCGCTGGAAAGCCCTGATTTAAGGCTTAAGGTACATTTCCCCTGGGTTATAAAAAAGTATTTAACTGGTGCTAAGTAATGTAAATAATAAGGAATTGCTCTGAAGAAACAAAAGAAAAGGTGTTGGATTACATAAAAAAGTATATAAAAAAGATATAGGTTCACCTACTCTGTACATACACTTTAACATCGAAGTCCTCCAACCTTTAATCATTATTTCTTTAATAGAACCTTCACTCCTTTTCCTATAACTCCTAATCCCTTCACCTTTGACTCCTACCCATCCAATTGTCATACCTCCAGGAAGATATATTATTTATCCCTTAATCCGAATACTATATTTTAGAAAAATTTTAACAATATTTTCATTACATACAAGCTACGGAGATTTAGTAGATGACACATGGTGAATTGAATGCAGTATTCGTTAATTGTTGATACGTTATGTTTCACAACGATATGTATAAAATTCATAATGAAAAAAAAAAATTGTATAGATAATTACACTAGGAATATTGTGATTTTTTTAGTAGAGTTTGCGTTATTAAGTTTATTTATATTCTTAAAAGCTGTTTTACAGAACAGAAGACAAAGAAAGTTCTACAGAAACAGGCACCGTTTTTGAAAGGAATTTCTAAAAAACAAAGCTGGAAAATGCTGAGAAAGTGAAAAATAGAGTATTATTTTTAATATTACAGTGAGGAATAATACTTCTTTCGTTTTTCCAGCATTTCCGGAATGATTTTGTAAGAAAAGGTAAATAATAATATTTATTACAAAAGCGGCTCATATACCTATTTAAGGAAACTTCCATTCGGTTTGGTTTTGTTTTTTTTTTTCAGTAGCATTTGCTTTGTTGATGATATAAAAACGATATAAAAGTAAAAATAAGGTATTTTTAAGCTCTTATTAATCATCAGGCCTACAGGTTTCGAATCAAATCGAATGGGGAGTTTCAAAGCAGTTAAATAAAAACTACTAAAGTGAAATATTGCATACAGGTCTAGTTGTTTCATATTATAAATAATAAAAACGTTCAAGTGCGAGTCGGACTTGCGCACGAAGGATTCCGTGCCGAACGTCTGTTGTATGGGAGGCCCCTTACATATTTATTTTATTTTATTTCTTAGTATTTGTTGTTATAGCGGCATCAGAAACACTTTATCTGTAAAGATTTCAATTGTCTAACTATCACGACTCATGAGATACCTGACGAAATTAAAAAAAAATCATGCTCTTTATATGGGAGTCCCCTTAAGTATTTATTTTATTCTGGTTTTTAGTATTTGTTGTAGAAGCAACATCAGAAATACATCGTCTGTGTAAATTTAAACTGTCTAATTTTTACAGTTCATGAAATACAGCCTGGTGACATACAAGTAGCAGTAGTATAGGGTTTCCGTTTTGCACTTTAGGTAAGGTTTTTTAAAGTTAAGTAAAAAAATAACAATGTTATTTTAGAAAAATATTTTTTATTATCTATACAAAAAGAAATCTATTTCTTACATTTAGTTTTATTTAGTTTATTGTTTTTAATTAATAAGAATTTACATTAAATAATTTACAACATTAAAATTTATCGAAACATACTTATATTTTTTACTATAACAACGGTTCTCTTTATAATGTCCATGTTCCATTATTTAAAGTTATACTTTAATATTCATACGGTCAGGTGCCTTAACGTCCCTTAAGGTTTAATGACGCCTTTAAGTACTAACGAATGTCAAATTTGTATGGGTAACGTCGTATCGGTAAACTAATTACAATTTTAATGTAAATTTGTGGAATTGGCTGATAATCCAATGAAATAATGTAAAACCATTTAAAATAATAAAATACTTTAAGTCAGGAAAATAAAGGAAATTATAGTCACCATATAGCGTATTTTAAAAGGATTGAAAATAAAAAGAGAATTACCTCGTATTTTCGATCACACAATTCCGCAGACCTTTTCCATAACCCTGTCGAAACTGTATAAGATCTTCAGGTAGGTTAAGGTACAACCGTTGTACTATCAGAGGGTTAAGTATTTTCACTCCTATGTCAGGTATTCCTTTGGCGAAAGTTGTGCCTATAACTTTCTGAATTGAGGTTTGAAGACATCCATTAATATCTCCACTGCATGGTATAGAAAATTTTGACAATGCTATGATAAGAGGAATACAATAAATTAAATAATAATCGGAAATGTATTTGATAAACTGTACTACTTTAACGTTTTTGTGCTATTTTTGTTTAAGTTTCCTTTCTTAGAATTATAATGTTCAAATTTTTTTTTAAATCTTCAAGTTTCAGAAAATTATAAAAATATAATTTTTGTATAGAAAGTCAAGTCCAGCAAAAGACATTAAAATAAAAATAAAACTTACGGATTATCGAAGCACACCAAAATCTTTCAAGCAGAGATATTGACACTAACAGTAGACACATTTCAATAGATAGAATTGAAAAGTAAAGTATTCTTATTGAGTAACCATCAAATGTTGTCACACTACTGATCAAAACGAAATTCTCTACGTATCTTATATAATCTTTGATTACATGTACTAAATATGTACCATTAAATAATTAAGAATGAGTAATAGTTTATTATTACTATAAAAACAATTATTCCTTTGTTTGTGAATTCAATTTATTACTAATGTCCTTAAATTATCATTAACAAATTATACTGGTTTGATTTAATCTTCATGCCTTTCATCTATTAAATGTCCATAGTTTGTAGTGAATATATCATCTAAAATGTCCTGGGAAATAGTAAAGTCTAGATTATTTGGAGTAACAGGAAAATCATTATCTTTTTCAGGAGTTGTAGGTGTAGGTGTAGGGGTCAAAGGTGAAGGAGAAGGAGTTATAGGGAAAGGTGTTAATGTTATTGGTGAAGGAGTGATAGTTACTGGTGAAGGTGTAGGAGTTATAGGTAAAGGAGACGGTGTTGGGATTATAGGGGGAGGAGATGGTGTTAGTGCATTGGTTGGACTTGATGTAGGTAAGCCATCGATTGGACAGCGTGAATTTCTTGAAAGTTGTACATCTGCAAAAAAAAATCCCCAAATGTTTACCAAACTAACACATTCATAAGTGTTTTAGTCATAATCATTACTGCAATGCATATTTGTTTTCGAGAACCCAAAAAGAACTTACCAACTCCACAAAATTTGGCACACTCTAATCGACTAGGGTTCGTGTAGGTAACACCATTGGTGCCACACACAGGGTTATATTCTGATGTGGTTGGACAATTTCTGATGCATGTGGCTGTGTTTATAACTGTTTGAGATGTGGGAATTTGTGGGAAAAACTGCTGCCGCTGTTGAGCTCTGGAACGAAGAAAAATTAATGAATAAAAACCTCTCAGATCTTGTCAGCGGTACGATAACTATCTTTATACCATGTTCTTAATAAATAAACAATTTGAATTCGAGGTTTCATTCATTTTCGATGATTGACGAGTTCTACCGATTCCGTAGAACTAATGAAGAAAATAATTTTTAATGAATTTTTGTTTTAGGAAAAGACCTAAATAGAAATTATTGTTTAAGGAGGGAACCGACGATATACGATGAATGACTAGTCTGCACTATTGTTAGCGTTTGCGTGATTTTAGCACTGTAAAAGTATCATAATTGTTGATTCAGTATGTTAACTGTATTCATATGTTTAATAGTACATCACATTCAGGAGTCACCAATAATCTCGCATTTATGATATTTTATACATAAGCAATAGCGTTATTTACATCAGTGATGTTGTCAGTGACATTCTTGATCCTTATCGAGAACAGGATTTGGGCTATACAATATATTTAGGTCGTTCAGTGGACGATCAAACTGATCGCATTTATGTACGTGTTTGCTGACTAGATATTAGCATAATTTTACGACAGTGTACCGACCTTATAAGCTTTATTTTTTGATGAGCGTTTTAAATGTTCCTGATTTTGAGCGGCGTATACCTGTATTTCAATAGTATCTACATTGTATATATCAATAGTATTTTTACATTCGTCATTTGTTTAGATGTTATCTGTTGGTTACTATTGATGAAAAAATTGAAGATTTATTTGCAAACCTTCATGTATATCATTAAAATAATCGCTTATAGATCATATTATTGATTGCTCTTGAAGTAAGTACAGGTAATAAAATATTGCTTAAAAGTACGGAGAATAGGCTATGTGACTTATTATACTACCTAGTTTCATAAATAAAATAAAAGGTACCTCATTTGTCCTCTATTTATAAATCCCCATCCCTCCGAAAAATCGCTTGAATCATCATAATTAAAATAATCAGTCGAATCTTGACGTGGAAAGCGATTATTCGATGGATAAAATATGAATACTCTGTTTTGGTCAAAACCTTGTTGTCCTCTAAAATTTTCCCATGCCGATTCCGAGATCACTACTGTTGTTATAACTGTAATAAACATATTATGTATGAAGCTGTGTATGAAAATTTAAGGCCAGGTTGTATGAAATTACCACTTTTTAAACTAATTTTCTTATAAGGCTATATTAATATTTGCCAAATAAAAATCATTTCATGGAAATTATACATATAGTCGATTGTTTGCTAAAAACAGAAACTTAAATTTCAATAACTGGCTCGATAGAAAAAATCGCAAAGATGACTTTTCGGATTGATTTTACGACGATTAATATATTTAATCTTAACTATATAAAAAATTTAATAAAAATAATATAGGTATAAGTAATAAAATAAGAATGTTGATCTAAATTTCGTTCCCATCTCAGAGTACCAGGGACAAAGAGGATTTTTTAAGCATTTTTCATCAAAAATTTTTTTTTGTAGAGCATCATTAATGCAAAATTTATCAAATATAATAACTAGAACAAATTTTCATCTTTATCGATAATTAAAATATTTCTTTCGGCTGTATGGGGGATTGCCTGAACATTGATGAAAATACGCTCTGTAGTAGCGAAAAAGTAACTTCAAAAAATTCATCAGTCCTGTTAGGTCCAGGTTGCCTAGATCAGTGGTGAGTGCAGTGGTGGGTACATGTCCCATTTCAGAGTACATTGATTATTTAAGCAATTTTCATTAGTAATAATTTTGATACAGTCTCATCATCATTATTATCATCATCATCAGCCCTTTTTACGTCCCCACTACAGGGGCTCAGACCTTCCTTATGGATGGTTAAGGAGGATGGAGGGTTCCAAGCAAATGCAACCGGGACCAACGTCTTAACGTGCCTTCCGAAGCACGAAGTAGCTCGCGATAATAATTTTTTGGTCACCCATCCCGTGACCGACCCTTGCGAAAGTTGCTTAACAACAACGATTGCGGGACGCGGCGTTTATCCTCCACGCCACTAGTCTAAAATTATTAAAAGATTTGTTTTAACTTTCTATTTTTTCGGCTATTAATAATGTTTAAAATAAAGCTAGTGCTTATTTCGATACGTATTTGTAAGAGAACGTAAAGGTACAAGAGAGCCTTAAGTAATATAATTAAAGCGTTGGAGTCACAACACAGGATGCTTACAAACAATTTTAAAATACTTGTTGATTAAAATTGTTTAAGGAGGGAACCGAACACTTTTGTTCTGAAATGTATATATTTATATTTATTTGACATTAATATTCTAGTATAAAGTTAAAGTTAGATTGGCTAGTATCTAGAATTAATGTATACGGTAGAATATCCTTGGTAACCTGTACAGCAAACATATACATTTGTCATTATTGGTAAACAAAAAACATACATGAGTCATTCATGTCTGATGTTTCTGAGACATCACCTGTCATGTCACGGATTCGTTATATTATTAGCACATTAAAAATATATTATTATTTAATTACATCGTCATTAGATTGAAGTTTCTTTTATTACAGATAATTTAGCTAAAGTTATTAATGCTATGATTATAAATAAGTGTAGAAATGTAATGATTGATTATATTTGTAATATAAGAATATCTAAATAAAGTATTGCTAATGAAAAAAATAAATATAAATAATTTTAACTTACCTATAAATATAGTGATGTGTGTATACATTTTTGTTATTTTTCACTGTTATTCACGTCATTTGGAATCACCGTTCTTCGTTCGTCCGTCTCAGTCCGATTTAAGAATCAAAATGTCCATCGTTTCCGCAACTTATGTACGAAATGATCATAAATTTCCCCCCTCGCGTCTTTCCAAAGGAAACCCGTTTTATATCAGTTCAGCTCATACACGCTTTAGTTATGTGATACTTTAGATATATTCCAAGAATGTTAATAGACATTAAACTATATCCCATTACAATGCGATGATCTCTCTAACTTATACTCTGGTTTAATGATGAGCTTGACGACTAATCGGTTAGCGCGTTCGGTCAGCGATGTGGAGATCAAACAACTTTCGCTAGGGCCGATCATAGGATGGGTGAAAAAAAAAATTTATTTCTTGTCTCGTTTTTTGGGAAGATACGTTAAGTAGCTGGTCTCGTCTGTATCTGCAGTTGTTAATACCCACCCAATTACACTAGGCCCGAGCGGTATTCGATTCGATTCATAGGGAAGTGCTATCCCTACTGAGCAGAGGCTTGAAGATGGCATCGTCATCTTCGAGATTCATTGTTTGATTCTCAGTCGGGTTAATGACAATACTATTGTGTCTGGTGATTACTGACTAAATAAATTACAAATGTTTCTGCAACTCTCTTTTTTATGAGTCATTTATAATATGCTATTTTCTTGCGAGGTTGTTATCATAATTTATATCTTATGTCACCCATGATGTAGTTTCCCGTATGTGAAATAATTTTTGAAATTGACCCTGTAGTTATGAAGCCAATTAAACCATTATTTTTTTGTCTAACATTAACGTCAATATACCATCCCATAAATTGTTTTTATTTTCATATATTTAAGATCTGTGATAAACTCATATCCATTTATTTATTATGACCATAAAATATGTTGCACACGTGCAACATATTATATTTTATGGTCATAATAAATTTGTCCGTTTAGAATTCCATAAGAAATAATAATATAGACAATTAAAAACTGCATTATAAGTTATAATATAGTTAGGATTTTACATGTCAATACTATCTGTAGGTATATTCGTTTACGTGTTTGACATCCTTATTTTCCTCTGTCCAATAAATGAAATCTTTAATAGGAATAGCAAGGACATATTGCATCAAAAGTATGGTGTAATTGATTTGACGTAAGTCAGTAATTTATGTTGCCATACAACTTTATTTCATATATTTATTGTATTACTTTAATAGAAAATTAATTAAAAACCACCAGTCGCGAGTACCCGAGGTGGAATAAGAACTTTAACTAGAACTATGGTATTTAATTTATTTCAGTCAATGATATAAAAAAGTTACGAATTGAGGTTTTACCATTACCATACCATTGAGGTTTTTACTTGAATCTATTTAGTATTTAAAAAGGTTATAATAGTATATCTACAATAAGGTAAATTAATCAGTTTTAGGATTTTAGGATTAAGACGTCAGGTAAGTGAGGTAAGGTTTGACTATTTTAAGAGATACGAGAAAGTGAACTTCGACACATTATAGTTGTCAACGGTATTAGTTTTGCCGTAAACGTAATAGTAGTAATCGTTTAGGGTAACGTAATGTATGTGCCTTAAATATAATAATTAGAATGCCTTGTAGTGTCGAATGGCCAAAACGGGGACAGCTGCCAAAACCGGGGCTTTAGCCTGCATTTACGACGGTAGATGTGTCACGTAATTGTTACTAATGGAACGTAAACACCAACAATTATTGAAATGACATTCAACCTTGTACATTTGACGGAAGATCCGTCGCGTACTAAGATATCTCTCTCTATGTTCTATGTATACTACTATGAGTGAGTATTACTATATGAGCGCAAGAATATTTATAAGACATTTTAACTTATTTATTACCAAATTATTATCATAGTTACTCTTAGTTACCAAAATAATAGTTAATCTATTTATTATTTTGGTAACTATGATAATAATTTGGTAATACTATAATAAAAATATACATATATACTATAATAATATAAATATATTACTATAATAAAAATGTATCTGAATGTAATAAATATGTACAATGAAGATTCATATATAAAAAAAAAACTATTATGGAGAGCATTTATAAACGCAATAGAACACGAAAAAATGATTTTTAAAAAGTTTTCGCTATTCACTAATGTATTATTCAATCTGTTCACCTGACCTGTCAAAAAGTTTCTTTTTTAACTCTTGATAAAGACGATGGGCTCCAGGGCCCCACGGACCCATCGTTTCGACCCCAAACGGCTCAAATATGTAGGTATTACTTATACCTGAATATTTGCGCCGTTTGAGGCTTTCTGCAGCAGCGGCGGCTACACCCGCCTCAAGACATGTTCGTGGAAGATGAGTTGGCGCCAAAGTATCAACGCAGGTGGCATCCCATACTAGGGGTCGACCCATCCTCCAAGGTACCAAAGACATCCCATCAGGTCTCTTACCGTCGTCGCGAGTCAGCCCGTTCGGTTCTAGAATGGCTGGCACTGACGCCGTAGCAAGAGCTCGACGGATAATATCATTGATACTTGCATGTCGAGAGATACGACCGGCACTTCTGCTACAAGATAAGCCGTGATGACCTAAAGAGTCCACCGTTTCACCGCAAGGGCAAAGATGGGGGAGATTACAGGTTGCCCCCAGGCGAAGACAAACTGAAAGGCGAAAAGTTGTATTATCTAGAAGTGTCCCAACAGTCGATGACGGCAATACTTGTAACCAAAGACCCGATTCCCACTCAGCGACAGCTAAGAGACGAGCATGCTCTGCAGAATTGGCAGACGTGTTTAATAGATTATTCCGTACCAATTTACAGAGCGGCTCGTCCCAATGTTTTTGAGCTGTCATTACTGTTGGAAAATCACTTCCAGATAATATCTCCCAAGCAGTTTTTGCCTCGGCCATATTGGAGATAGCAGCAGCTGAAGATGTTTTAGACAATATTTTTTTATTCAGGTCATAGGTGCTATGGACCGAAGATAAAAATGCTGGAAGGGCAACACTAGAAATTTTGCGTAAACCTAAACCTCCGAAGCGTATAGGAAGAGAAGCCTGGTCCCAAATTTTGTCACTAATATCGATATTAAGTATAGTGGAAACAATTTCTTTTATTGCTTTGTCCATTGAAAGTGTAAGGTTTGTGTGTTTCCAAAAAGGTGCTGAACGTAAAACATAGGTAAATTGAGGAACAAACAGACAATAACGCATAATTGTGAAAGCCATTTGATTATTAATTTTTAGTAAACGATCAGCAAATGACTTAAATTTTATTACTTTTTGTTCAGTGAACTGATTGAAATATTCATCACAAATTGGAGACCCTAAAAGTGAAAGTGACTGTTTACATATAATTTTTATGCCCGGAGCTAGAGCATTAAATTTGGAAATTATGGATTCTTTTTCATTGACTGTACTAGGAATATAGAGCTCGCATTTACTAAAATTTAACTCTAGGCCACAATTTTCTAAATTTTCGATTAGATATTTTAGATCTGAAAAAACTGATTCGGCTTCTCCTCCTAACGTACCATCATCCAGATACCACACATTGAATTTAGAATTTAGATTTGAAATAATTGGATGAATAGCTAAACCAAAAAGTGCCGGCCCGAGTGGGTCACCTTGTTGACATCCTACGGAAGAGGACAAAAGGTGGTTTTTATAAATCAATTTCGAAGGTGATCTATAGCATTGCCATAAGAAATTGTATATAGATGGTGTTTTGTCTTTTATTTGTGTCAACAGGGTGGACCTATCTACCGAGTTGAAAGCATTTTTTACATCTACCTTCAAGACAAGATCTTCTGGTTGAATATCTAAGAATGTTCTAAGAGAATGTATTGCCGCTTCACAACCACATTTTATTCCAAACCCTAGCTGTAAAGGGTCGAAGTAGTTGCTAAGCGTGCTACGAATTGACTTACAACATATTTTAGCAGCAAGACGGCGAAAAGTAGAACCTACCGCGATTGGTCGGATACCACCATCTTTTTTCTTAAGAGCGCAAAGATTCGCACCATAGAGAATATCTACAATCGCGGTATGAACGTTACCTGAGAGCATTAAATTTATAAGTTTAGTTAATTCCTTTAAGAGGCTTTCACCAGCTTCACCATTGTTACCACTTAAGAGATCTTTTAGGTGTTGAGGCGTCAGACCATCTAGTCCACCGGCAGAACCACCTCTAAAGGAATTGACTGCATCCAAAACATCGCGTGATTCTGTCTGTAAAAAAGCATCAGAAGAAATAGGAGGGTTTGGAAATGTAGAATTTGGTCTTGATGGAGGATGTTTGCTTTCAAGGGCTATAAGAGTTTCTGGAATATCTGGTGCGACAATGTCATCGGAAAATAATAGTCGAGATGCGCCTTTGATATCACCTTCACTTATTTTGGTTTCTACGTAATGAAATAACGATTTAGGTTTGTTTCTATTGGGGTAATTTGACGGAAAGTGTATATTTGTCTTCTGACAATTTTCTTTGATAATAGCTGTTAGCGATTTTGGGTTGTTAGTATGATCTGGACAAGCGTGAAGAATTTTGTAAGCAAAGGTGAATAGATGTTCCCAGGCTTCAGGAGTATTTTTCAAATTGACTTTTTTAATTGTTTTTGTCAATTCCTCGGCAACAGCAATACGTGCTCCTCGAGGAATTCTCCTTATGATGGGAATCGAGGACTTCAATTTTGAAATTATTTGCCAAAAAGGTTGTGATAATGTATCATTATCATATGTTTGCCGGATCGGATTATGTGATGATTGATTGTTTGGCTGTGCTAATTCTTTGTGAGACCGTGATAAATGTATTTTCAGACCTCTGGCCCCTTTGAAGTAGCGAGCTTGAGAACATCGTGGGCATTGAACTAAATTTTCCGATGAAATATCAGATACTAGATTACCTTGGTGACCAAAAACTGAATTGCCTGGGGTATTGCCTGCATTGTCTTGACTTAGAGACATATAAAAAAAAACAACAACAACAACTTATATAAAAACACAAACTTAAAACAACACTGTAAAAATCACACTTTGTAAAATTTGTTTATATTGTTTGTTTACAAAAATGACACGTGAGTGAGGGCGAATCAGTTTGTATTGCCGATGGAAAACACCAATCGGGGAGCATCTTTTTGACATTTTGTCTGACATTGGGCTGTTGTCTAGGTGACTGGCATGGCAGTCATCGGTCACAAATTATATGTCTTATTTAGACTCGATACTATCACAAATTCCCAATAATTGTAGTTTATTTGCTTTTTCTGAAAATATGCGCTGAGCGGCGGCGGTTAAAGTTGAACTATTGCACATTAGTTTCTGTTGCCATAATATCGAAATTTCAATTTTTTATCAATTTATTGTGGGGAAATTTGACTGCTTTGTATCGCTGACGTTTTTTTTTTTTTTTTTTTTTTTTTTTTTTACATTACATTTTTTGACAGGTCAGGTGATCAGAAGGCTGGTTTGTACCTCGCCCAAAGAATTAGTTTAGCTATTCAAAGAGGTAACGCTCGCAGCCTTCTGGGTACCTTACCTGTAGGCAATGATCTGGGAGACATTTTTAATTTAGTTTAGATATTATTTTAAGTTTAGATAAGTAGTTTTAATTTAATATGTATTTTAGAAGATATATAATAGAGAAACAATATAAACTTAATATTTTTGCTTGGGAAAGTGTATATCTGTTCACAAATAAAAAAATTATATCAATATGAAATATTGTTCGAAAAAATGTTATGAAATATTATCTGTTTTATTAAATTTTTGTCATCACCAGCTTCTTAAAATCCCCACTGCAGAGGCTTTCAGACCTTTATTTACATGTAAAAATACATGTTTTATATTCTTCGGTTACTTACCAGACGTACAAAGAAACAAAAATTTGATAATACCCATAACAAATGGTCACTGTTAAATGGATGAGAGTCTCAAGAAGATCGTACAGCGATCGTTGCGTGCAAAAGAAACTTTGGCTCAACATGAATCTAAATTGAGTTTATATTGTTTTCGAATGATGGCTTGTTGGATTCAAGAGAACAGTGAACAGCGTATGTAACACACGATGTAGCTTACGCTGAAGTAAAGAAAGTAAAGACAACTCGAATTATATATTTTTTCCTGTCATTACTCGTATGTTACTCATTTTGTTTTTTTTTTAACATGTATATCGCTTTAGATGCTATAAAGCTGGTATTTTCAGTCTTCACTGGAGACACAGGTTTATTTACAGGTCACGATGCTCATGTGGTATATGTGAATCTGAGGGTCGGTTTAGATCTGATGGAAGTATATGTTAATAGACGATTTCCGTCGAGTGTTCAATGTTGAATTTAATTTTTTTTTTGTTCTCGATCTTCGAAGGTTTGCTTATTCTCTGTATAATATGAAAGAAAGAAAATTGAAAGAAATTCGTTTATTGTTGAAACCACATAACATACACAACAACATTAAATAGGGCTGAATATAAATATTTTTAAAAACAGGTTGCTGCGAATGCTATGTGATGCCAACGCTGGACTCAGCTCAGTATAAGCAGCAGGCAAGACCCGCTGCACTGATATTCTGCAGAGACCAGCAATGACACCACGGAGCACAATATCTATATTAATATAATATCCGTAAATGATAATAACACACAATGAATATAAATAAAAAAGAAAAAAAGAAAGAAAAGAAAACGTATATGACTACACTAACGTTAAGGCTGAGTGGAATTGATTCTGTGTACATAATTATTATGTCAAATTGACTTATGACACGTATACAGTTACTCCGTATAAAAAAAAAAAAAACACATTTTAATTATAGAAATATGAATTTGGACTAATCCTGAAATTGCAATTTTAGCGTAAACTTACTCTGGCGCTAAATCTTGTTTATCTATACCACTGTTAGGCTTTAATTGACAAAGAAAGTTTCTTGAGCTTTGAGAGAGTTCGGTCATAAAGCTCTCGCTCACAGGAGATATCTGAAGAAAACGAAGCGTATTTAATTGGCTATCTCGAGGCTCATGCACTATTAAGTTGAATCTGAAGCATTCACTGTCAGGGAAAATCTCTTGAGCTCTCGGAGAATTCATACAGCAAGCGTTTTGATCTCAGGAGACTTCTAAAGATCGCTTAGCACGTCTAACTACTGATCCTAACACATATGCAATATGGTATGGGTCTGAATCTTTCTTTGATAGAGAAGTATGTTTGTCTGAAAAAGCTCGGGCTTTGCAGAATAGAGAGCAAGAAAGTAGTTTCGATTATTGTCATCAACCAGTGTTGCCTTTACCCTGCCTGTACCCCACAGGCGTATAGCTTCCGTGCATAGGATGGGTGACTAAAGATTTATTATCTTGGGTTCCTTCGTGCTTTAGAATACACGTTATACCGTTGACCTGGCTGCATCAGCAGTCGAAAACACCCACTAATACGCATTGGGACCGCGTATAAGTCTCACGCAGATGAAGTAGCTGGCACTGCTAGTTTAAAATATAAGTCTAGTGGGAGATCAAAATAAATTGAAAACTGTCAAAATTTTAAAATATTATATTATGTACCTATATGCTACTGCTTTAAAAAACTATATTTACAAATTCAATAACCTTTCATATTTCTATAATTACAACTACTATTATCAGTATTTTCATGAAATCTATATATAGTCATATATATGTATGTACTATATATAGTCATATAGTACTATGATACTTAAACTCTTCTTTCATGTCTCTCATCTATAAGACCACCATAGTCAGTGGTAAAAATTGAGTCAAGAATATCCTGTGGTATGGTAAAGTCTAAACCGTTGGGCGTCGTTGGAGCAACCTTTGGTGATGTAGGAGTTACGTTTGGTGTTATAGGAGTAACATTTGGTTTTGTAGGAATCGGCGTAGCATTCGTGATAGGGCTCGATATAGATATGCTGGTTGGCGTGGTTGCACTGGTAGAATTCGGTGTAGTATTAGTATTCGGCGTCACCGATGAACCAGTCACTTCACAACGAGATCGTCTTAACATCTGTATGTCTGTAAAATATATGAGAGGTCTATAAAGTATTTCAATTGCGTAACTATTGGCTAGTTAACTAATAAAGAATTCTGTATTTGTTGAAGCGACGAGATTGGAAAAAGTAAACAATGAGTATATTACAGGAAGTGTGAAAGTAGGGCCGGTGACACAAAAATCGATTATCTTGATATCGACATGTGATGAAAAGAGACGACTTGTTTGTAATAAAAGTGGATTATGACCATGAATGTATGCGGATATGTAAGGAGAAGACCGGAGAAAAGTTGTTTATACTTCGTGACTGACGCTATGTCTACAGAGTGAATGTTGAGATGACGGCTTCATAGAGAAATATAGAAACAGAATTCATATTACGCCGACCTTAAATGAATACTTGGTCGGATTATCGGACGTTATTATATTTTATTTTATCAAAGGATGGTTCATTAAAAATATAAATAATACTGCAGACATATCCTATTTCATCAAGTGTAGGAAGCCGGAGCTTCCTGCCAGTCACATATTACTATATCATACTGCCATTACATTTTGAAACTAAAGTTAAGCTTGTAGAATTCCTTAGTACAAATGCGTTTTAAAATTCAATAGTTAATGATGACATAAGAACGTTCTTCAATTCTGTCATTTAACGGAATTAATTTTATAAATTGTATTCAAATTCATAATAAGTTATTATTAAACGATAAGCTAACGAAAACATAACGTTAGTTAACCACAAAAACGGTTTATCTTTAATACGTATTAGTAACGTAAGCTATCAAAAATGATTCACGCATTAAACATGCCCACATTATAACAAAATGAAACCTAATATTAAATGCATTATCAATAGTTATAAGTATTATAAAAAGAATATAGGATTGTCTTTTTGTTTGTTTGTAATGGATAACCTCAAAAATTACTAAAACCATCTTTACAAAACTTTTCATTAATTTATGGCTTCCTTTTTAGCTAGTAACCTAGACTAAACTCTATTTTGAAAAACTTACTGTACAAAGTATGTGGTTTGAATTTGTACTAAATAATACAGTGTAAGTATATTTAAGTTAATTGAATGTCATAAATCTAGAAAACGATCATGATTTAATGTGGAATCGTCAAAGAGCGTCAGCTGAAAACACGCGAAGGATGCAAAAGGGAGAAAAAAGTAGTGCTCACGCAGATAGGAAAGATAGGGAGGAATATATAGGATTATATAGAACAGGGAGGCCAAGTATCCTATTATTTCTACGCCGGCGGATAGGTAACTAATAATATTTAAAGGTTTCACCTTTTCATTTTTCTACTTTCCATTAATGATGGTATATGATATAGTTTGTTGGAATAATATTATTTTGTTCACAATTAATTTGCACTTAGTTTTTTAGTTTAGTGTCTTAACTTAATGTCAGATAAACTTATATGATGTTGTTCTATAGTTACGAGTGGGAATAATAAAACTGATAATTAATAACTTAATGAATATAAAGAAGTGCTTACTCAGTCCACACATCTTAGCGCATTCAAAGCGGCTAGGATTATCGTACGTCACACCATTACTGCCACAAATAGGATTATATTCTGACGTTGTAGGACAGTTGAGCATACACGTTCGTATGACCTCCAGGGAAGGTGTAGACGATGGAATTACTGTGGTAGTTGAACTTGTAGTAACTGTAGATCCACTCGTAGGACATCTGGAAGCTCTCTCAAACGTTACATCTGCAAATAATAATTTAAACTTGAATGCGATGCCAAAGATGCGCATGCGCTTATTCAAAACTGAATTGAGCTTCAATTGCTTTTGAGCAATACATCGACAGTTCAGACTTTTAATTTTTATTTATAATTTAATATATTATTGACTTTTTCCTCTATCGTTAGATAAGTATTGTTCTCAATTAAAATTACACTCTCGTTATACCTGCAAAATTTCAGCTCATACGAAAACTGGGACAAGATATGACCCACACATTAACAAACACAAAAAAAAACAATTATACGTTTATGATGTAAAAGTATTTGCTATGTATGTTGTATGTTGCTTAATGAATCAATTTTCAAGTAAAAATTGTATTATATATATATATATATGTTTTAAGTTTACAGAAATACTAAGTAAGGGTATTGTCCAAAATTAATATCGATAACTTGATGTATTTCAGTGTTATAGAATCTTTTTGCTTGGGTTCAAGAACTTTTAAAATAGCACCTTTCACGGGTATTCCCCAGAACGTTGCTCCCAATCTAAAATACTATGATGCCACAGCTCAATGGTCAGCTTAATACAGCTATACAATATGCAGCTTTTGTTAATTTTCTTTATATGCTTATTATTTAAGGTAAGCGTTTATCAAAATATCAATAATTTTAATATAGTCGTTACATTTATTTACGAATTTATTTACATTTAAATCAATGAAGGCAGTTACATTATTTAATTTTTTTATGCTTTATTGAATGAAACGGTTTACTTATAGTTTTATGTTTTACAAATGTTTTCAAAAAAAGTACGACTGTAGGTAACCGTGGTTAGAAGGTGAAGCTCAGTTCTCTGTTTTTCCATCATCATTGCTATGAATTGGTGGCAATGACTACAGACACAGCATAAAACAACGGCTTAACTTGCCTTCCGAAGCAGGGAGGAAATAGAGATTATAATTTTTGGTCACCCATCCTATGAACGGTGCTTGCGAGAGTTACAACCCCCCCCCCCCTTGCAAATTGCTGCGCCATCAAGCTGTATATAGCGTACAAACCCATCGATAAAAGGTAGACTTCATAATGTGTCATAGATAGGATAAAATATTAACCTTTTATCAGAACAAAATATTACGTTTTTATATCTCGACAGTCTCTAGAGTTTTCAAACTATAGCAAAAGAATCGATCTTGCGAATCGATTCAATTCGGAGCCTTTTAGATCAATTCGGAAGATTCGATCTATCAAAAATCGATTCATTCTTCTAATGTCGTACAAAAACCTTTGTATCTAAATGATTGAGTATTGTATAATTATTTAAAGAATGAAATTGTAAACCAATAATAATTAATTTTGATTATTCCGTTGTTTTTTAATTCGTTGAAAATTTTGTACCTATAGCTAAAAGAATATGGAATTTAGAAACAACCATTTTCTATACTGGCCCGGCTAGGAATTGAAGCCGTGTTATCAGAGATCATAGATAAGTATTGTATATCAGAGATAGTGACACTTTATACACATAATTCTTAATGAAAAATGCTAAAAAAAACCACTTTGCACCAGGTAGTCAGAGATAGGACTCGAACCCATTCGCAATCCGGGCGACTGTCAAACTTTTCAAGCACTTGTTACTTTTTCGCTATTACATAGCGTATTTTCGTCAATGTTCAGGCAATTTACTCAAACAGCCTAAAATAAATATTAGTACAAGTAGCTCAGTGGATTGCGTGCCTTTTGTCGGTTCGAGTCATATCTCAGAGTATCCTGAGGCAAGGTGGATTTTGTAAACATTTTTCATTAAAAATATGATAGTGAATGTAAATCAACTTTAGAGTACGCCAGTCGAACGAGTATCTTACGTAAAATCCACTTGACAAGTATCAGAGAGAAAATAATTGTACTCACTGACTCCACAATACTTTGCGCATGATAAATGATTGAAATTTTTGTATGTGACACCGTCACTTCCACAAACAGGGTTGTACTCAGGCGTGGATGGACAGTTCGACAAACACGTTTGTAAAGTCTCCTTTGATGTCGTCACAGGCAATACAGTTGTGACGTTGGTAGTTGGTCTTAACGTCGGTTGTTCTCCCCCACATCTACCTGGTTTTATTGAAGTCACATCTGTAAAAAGAGAGATATCTTTAATAAATTTGTGATGAACGCAATAAACTTTAACTGCTTATACACAAATCAAAAATATAAAAGTACTTTATAGTGCAAACTCTATGCTTAGGATGATCTATCCCATCATTGGACCCATCGTTTGTTGATGACTGGGTAAAAAATATATTTAGTCCGTCAGTCAGTCGTCAGATAATAGAAAAATATTTGATACGTATTTTTGCTTCAATTTAAACAAGAAATGACTTAGATAATAGGTATTAAAGTTGAGGAGTGGGGGCTCGCTATAACACAGTTTTGTAGAAAATGTACAAAACCGTGACATTTCAACTCAACGTATCGCCGTAATTTATCGATTAGGCAAAAAATATTTACAAAATCAAAAATCAGTCATCATCCTATTAAATTATCATTATTCCTAAAACCACATAAGTCCATGCCGTTTAAAATCTGAATCACCTAACAATATGTATGAATAGTAAGTAACGTACATTTATAAATAACTAGTATTTGCCCGCGATTTCATCCGCGTGATATAGTTATTTCGGGCCGCATTTCTAAAAAGCTAAATCAAATTTCAGTCATACCTGAATATAAAGATTTATGGTTATATAAAACCCTATTTCAACGTTTAACCGTTTGTTTTTATCACAATAAAAAGCAACCTATGTCCTATCTCAAGTCAACCATATTTAGTGGGTAAGGCATAACAGACATATACACAGACCTACTTTCGTTGTATAATATTAGTATGAGATAATTAGACGATTCTCTTTCTCGGTTATAATATCACATAGAGATTACCAGACAGTTACCAAAATAAATAGACTAAGAATAATAGAAATCACAATTGCTTGATCGACTTTTAAACACACAGTATTTTTTTGAATATTAAACTATTTTTCGATTTTGTGTAAACTAAGGAAAATCAAAAAAAAAAAAATCAAAATATCCGCGTTATTAGAATAAAATTACTTTGATATTCTACTTCCAAGAAACTACAATAAAAAGCCATATTTATTTAATTAAGGTACAGCATAAGCTACACATGTAACTAACCGACTAATGTCCAATATGTTTCAGTACTTTATCTCTGAAATCCTAAAAGCTATTTATCCAATTTGAAATACAGATGGAAAGAAAAACGCAAATGTAAAATATAAACAAAACTTAATCGAAAACTGAAATCTACACAAAATTCTTTGAACAAAACGTTAACTCAGTTTAATTGCTAATAAACGCCATCTAGTAAAGCAAAACTTAAAGATTTTCTCTCTATATTTTATTTCAAATTAAATCAAATTATTTACTGGCAATAAACTTATAAAGTCACACTCGGTAAGTCTTGTACAATTCAAATTAAATTTTAAAGTCTTAAATCATGCAAGTCAATTCATGTATGGGAACATCAGAGAGATTATTATTATATATGATCAATTTTACATTCACAATGCAATACTGGAAATATTCTAAATGAAAAATGCTAAAAAGATGGACTTTGTTCCTGGTACTTGTCATCAAGTAGCATTTTTTATTAAGTATATAATTTTAACAATTTATATTAATCAATTATATCACGCAGTCAATTAAATTACATAAATACAAATTAAACTATAAAAAACTTCTTAGTAGACCTCAACGTAATAAGACAAATGTACCCTCCAAATTTCCAGTATCTGCGAGCACCATTTTAGGCTGTGCGTTGTCTGTCAGTTAGTATGTCAGGACATCTCCTTTTATATATGTATAGATAAAGGAAAATTAATACTCACTTATTCCACACATTTTAGCACACAGAAATTGAAGAGGATTATTGTATGTGACACCGTTATTGCCACAAACAGGATTGACTTCCGTATTGGACGGACAGTTAAGTAGACACTTTCGTATAGTCTCCACAGACGATGTCGTAGGCAGTACAGTATCGACTATGGTAGTTGAGCTGACGGTGGGCTGTATATCATCTTTGTCACATCTCCCTGCTTTAATTAAAGACACATCTGCCAGAAGAAACATAAGTTATTCTATAGAACTGCCGTTGTATTAAAATAACAATATGTATGTAATGAAAAATATAATTGTCTTTAATTTAAATTTCCTCGTGCGATAAACCTTTTGAAGCCGTTGACATTTTGTTTATTTAAGATAAGGAGAAAGATATCGAAAATAGCGTCTTGTCAAAAGAGTATATAAATTATCATCAATTAATTACGTAATTGTAATATATATGTGAAGTTTTGTTTCTAAAAACTATTATTCTATCCAAAATGAAACAACATTTTTTTTCTTACTGAGCAACCCAATGGTGTTTATTTAACTGTGCCAGCTAAATCACAGAAATTTTGGAAAATATCTTATTTGTATTGCAAGACAAAAAGGTGATAGCTCGGGAAATACTACTGACAGGCAAGCTAGATGGAAGACGCACAAGGGAACAGTCCCCTATAATATTCAGGTCAGATCCGATCATACTCGATACCACTGTCTGTGATGCCATAGATATCACCGAAGATAGCAGAAATGGTGAAGAACAGTCGACGAGAATGTCATTTAGAGAAATCATGACCCTTATCATTGACTATACATGACGTTACGAGGAAGCAAGACGAGCATATTAAATTATACCAGGAAATAATCGTATTGTGAAAGTATCCAATAGTATTGCCAGGTATAATCTATGCTTCAATATAATAATTTAAGATGACCAACATCTTAGTGTACCACGGTCGATCAAGGAGCCTGAAAAGCATCCGAAACATCAAAACATGTGATAAAATCTTTAATTTATATTTTCTTTAATTGAACAGTTTAAAAGTTGTCTAATTAAATGTGCAGTGCGCATTATTAAATGTGGAGGCCAATGTTAATGTCATTGCAGTTTGGCTTCCTTTTGCGGAAACGGAATTCTCCACATAAAATTGTATCAATTTTACACAATGTTATGTATCCAAC